TTGCCCCCCCCCCCTCGGGCACGCCACTGCGGCCAAGGATGAAATCCTGTTCGGGCTTCCCTCCTCTCCGGCTCCGGTAGATTTTCCGATCCCCTGACGACTTGACGGACTGTAGACGCGAGAATCCCCGTCTTCTCGAGTCATAAGATTTCACATCTGGCCTTCTCGCTCCTGCCTCTTTGCGCTGGCTCGAAACCCTCGTCCAGCATACTCAACGAAACAGCGCGATCGACTGAGGGTTTTCAGCATCGCCAATCACCATACCTTGCCTTCGGTGTATTTCCATATTTGAATTGACCGCGCACGACTCCTATTTTCTAAACAAAAAAGCCGTCTGCAAATCCCGATAGGAGCCCCTCCTCACTCCTCTCTTCGCGAGCGGCGATCCGAACGAGACAGAAGCATTCTATATTTGGTCAACAGCGAAGGATCACGAGGTGAGTACTTCACTCTCGCGAAGTTAAAACTCCGGAGACTATCAGATCCTCTCATGGTCGGAAATCGCCGTGTGTCATAGGCGTTCTATCGTGACACACCTTGAGGGGCCTTGGAGCCGGAGCGGAGCCGAAAGGATGTCGCTGTTGGGCTCGTTGCTGAAGTTTCGTAGGACTGATGTTGACCGATCTTAGAGAATTATTCTAGCCGTCCGAACGCGATGGTGGGAAGATTCGCAATCCGAGTGCTATCAACCTCTGACAGATAAACTCGGCGCGCTAGGGAAGCGCGTTCTTTGATTTGTCTCCGCAGAAGAGCCTCGTTCACTGCCATCCATTGGGATGAACGAGAATTTAACGAAGACTCTTGAATCTACTATTCTCAGAATAGAATGGCTGCCGTCAATGATGTCATTCAGCAGCAGCTAGCTGAACGGCTCGTTGAGGCCGCGCGTATAGCCGAGGATGAAATTGACCGGGAGATCGAGAGGCTGGAGAAGTTGGATGAAGATGATCTCGAAGGTGAGTCACTCTACTGGACTAGATTAGACTAGACTTTGATCACTACCCCAGGATCTGTTAGCGGTCATGAGTTCTGCTCCGATTTCGCGTCGAGTTTGAAGTGTCACGTCTCTCCTCCCAGGCATCCGACAGCGGCGGATGGCGGCAATGAAGAAGGCCGAGGAAAAGAAACGCGAGTGGTTGCAGCTCGGACACGGGGAATACTCTGAGCTGAGTAACGAAACGGAATTCTTCGATGCCTGCAAGAAATCTACGCACGTCGTCGTGCACTTTTACCGTCAGGAGACGATGAGATGCGCGATCGTGGATAAGCATCTGCAGATTCTCGCCGTCAAACATCCTGAAACTCGTTTCCTGAAAATTTCGGTGGACAAAGCGCCTTTCTTATGCGACCGCATGAAGATACGCGTCTTGCCGACCCTGGTGTTATTCAAAGACTTCAAAAGTGTCGATTACATCATTGGCTTCGATTCATTGGGAGGGACCGACGAGTTTTCCACAGAGATGATGGAGTGGAGAATCGCTCAGAAAGGTAAGGCCTGAAGCTCCGATCGTCCAGAGGGCGGAGGTTCACATATGTGTCGCGTGCCAAGACATTCAGCGCTAGAATATCACTGCTATCATATCGTACGTCATCGATTCCAGGCATCATCAACTACGCGGAAGACCTCACGACGCCACCAGACTCGAAACCCAAACCGAAAAGACCTGTGTACGGAGTTAATCCGAAGAACATCCGCAAGACGAAACACGGAGATTCGAGTGATGACGATGATGATGACTAGTTGAGAAGTTCCACTTCGCCCGCCTAAGATGCCTCATTCGCCGAGGATCCGTTTCAGAACGAGAATATCACAGCTTGCTGCTTTTAGGTAGACTTTTCCACGACGAATATGAGCCGATCAAACGAAAAGTGTCCGCGAATAAATTTCGGTACTCATTTTCATACTCTGTGAGCCTCTTCGAGGTGTGAGGTCTAAATTGGGCGTGGCGACGGAGTCTGATTTCTGAGTATATGATGAACGATCATGTCGGGACCTCTTCTAATTGTAAGTCGTACTCGGGAACGATTTCAGGCTGGGAGCATGGTTCTAGAAGAACGGACACGAGCAGGAGTTAGGAGACTCCGCTTCACCGTGTTATTGGAATCGATACATCCGATGCTCCTCTTCACCTCATTTTAATGCTTAGCTCGGAATCAGCTGTTAACGTTCCATGCCTGAGTTTCGGTATTACATGCCCGCTTCTTCTCTCTCCCTCCTCCTTCCGGGGACCAATGGATGGTCATCAATCTCAATGCACGGGAATGACGACCGAAGGAAACTATTCGTAAGAGGCGGAGCTTGGATAGACAGTTAAGTCGTTTATTGAACTTTTTTAACTGTGGGCGCCCAAACAACGGTTCTGGATCGAAGGCAACGTACCTCCGGTCCGGTAGCTTCCGAGCGGACATCTGGAGTCAGATCGGAGCGAGGGCGATCCGAATATCTATTTTCCAAGTTCCACATTTCCATCGATTCTCATCGAACTACAAACCATACATCTAGCATGTTTTCCTGATCATTCTTTGAGCACGCCCGGTTCTCCTCTCGTTATCTTTCTGTTTAGCCTGACCCCCGGGGTCTTTGGCACTACACAAGCGGTTGGTTATGGAGGTTTGTTGTCGGTTCGTTCAGCATCAATCTTCTGTCCGAGGAGGAGAACCCTCAAGGAGACATTCGGAACGAGACTTGGGTGCGAGGTCGGAGGAGAAGAATGGATTCGATGTTGATCTTGCTTAATCGGTAACTGGTATACTTGATGGGGATTATGGATCACCATAGAAAGGTATAAGTGGGAAGAAAATTGCATGACGAAATCGTAAGTAGCTCGAACGAAGGTTTCGCCTTAGGCTTGTCGAGAGCGAAATGTACAGAGCCCATGTGGCTGTCATGGGCTCGAGAATGGTAACGACAACTCAAACAATCTGTCTTTATTCTTACCAAAACGTTTCCTAGATTCTGCGCGAGAACGCAGAGAGGATTCTTTCATATAGAATCTTTCACCTCCAAGCGAAACCAAGCATCCACACAAAAGCAAGCCTCACATTCTGTAGTTCGAACGATATTACTCAGTATATACTCGATACAAAAATAACCGACTTAAATATATATTATATTACACACTTGCGCTCCACACCGGTCTCATTTCTGGCCGGTCTCTGGAAATGTCTCTCCCGCGCACTAAGATTGCCAGGAGAGTTCGCCCGCGAATTTCAGGCTTGGCGTGAACTGCCTCCGAGAGCGGCCACGTTCACGTTCCAGGAAAACTCGACCTTCGTTCCTATTAGGGCTCCTGTTCCCTCATTTCCCTGCTAATCTAACACTGTATCTAATGTTCCAAGAGCTCCACGGGACTCGATTAGGGCCACTGGCGAATCGGCCCTTTCGAAGCCCCCCGATCGAAACGTTATCGGAGAGGAATGATCTGATTTGTGTTCCGCGCACGATAAAAATTGAAGCTTCGGGAATGGAAATACAATAGTGGAATAGCCAACGCGTCAGCACAAGGTCCAACCAGGCTCAGCTCTGGGTGGACTCGCAGCTCGGTCGCTGATCCGGAATGGATATTCAATTTGTTCCTCGCGAAAACGAATGTAGAAAAACTTGTGGATTTGTATAAGGTAGAAATTCCGTATCCGAGTTCTCTCCTTGAGCACGAAACCAACGAGGAAAGAGGAATAATTATAATAATACAACATTAGATGATGTAAATTTAAGTGTACGTCCGCAACCGAGAATTGAATCTTGACGCATGAAAACTATCTCCAGCGAAATGTTTCCACACCTGCGGCGCTTGCAATTTCTCTTCGATAAATAGTCGGGAAGAGAATGCTCTCATTACTCTTTAACGCCCATGTTGGGCTTATAGTCGCGAGCCATAAGACAGGCAAACACCGTCATAACCATTTTCTGCTTGACCTCGGCAATGTCCTCGGGCAGAGCATAGATTCGCGCCCCGGCTTTACGTGCCATTGATATGGCGTATTTCGCGTTGTCCAACTTCTCTTCTTGGCTCGTACCAGATTTCACCTGCAAGCCAGAACTTCTGTGAGAATCGCTGCAAGCGACAATTTTCGCTTGTCGTGTATGCTCCGGATCCGAGCGCCAGCATTCCGGAAGTGGGTAGTATAGACCTGCGTGCGGACAACATGCGAGGAGGATGAGCCTTTGGAATCACACGCACGATCTTGCTTTACAGCAAAGCCACGGATAGAACGTATAATAAGGTAATGTACGTATAAGTATTGAGCGACAGGCTGAACGTCATCCCTCGTGTGGAGGGTGATGTGGATGAGCCTGGCGAGTGGCCTCGTAGCGGCAACATGAGGAAACGAGCTATATATGGCTGGATCATTCTAAGAAATTGATTTTTTCGGGATGTTTGTGTGTAATCGAGATCTCAGCCGGAGGCTTGAGAGCCGTGGGCGACTCCAGGAGGGGATATGGCATGGCTTGTCACGGAATCACACAAGTACTCAAAGCTCACGTCATGCGGTTAATAGAGGTCCAACCTTCAATACTCCGGGTGCCAAAATGAACTGACTGCTGATCCCGACCTAGATTGTCCTGGTATTCCACCGAAACATGCATTAGTTCTCGAAGCGACATGCGGTTACACACGAAAACGGATCACAGGACCGTCACGGGAATCTCTCGTAGCGATACAAGGACCCGAACGCTGAAGACGAGATGAAGCCAGACGAATGCCGGATCTCCGAACAACACATAACACAAACCTGGGCGTAATTGATGGATCCCGGATTGATAGCGTCCACAAGATCGAGCACGGGCCTCGAGCAGGCGATTGCCTGATCCTGGAACGAACTGATCCGGCTGTCTTTACCGGCGGATGCGAGTTTGCCGTTTGCCCATTCCAAGATTTCCTTCTCGACGACGGGACTTCCTGTACCCTTGCACGTCGACAGGACACTGAGGGTGTAGGCCCTCATGAGCTGCCAAACGACGGCCAATGTCAGGGTGGTGTTTCCGTCGTTGATATCTGTGCCAGCAATGCCGACCAACTTGAAGTCGAACTCCTTGATAGCCAGTTCGACGGCGTAGTTGCAGTTTTCCAATTTTTCCATGAAACCCTTGAGTCGGCTGAAGCTGCGATGCACTCGCTGCCAGTTCACGCTTCCGGGCTTGATTATGTCGAAGAGCTGGAAAATGATGAGACCGTCGACAAGATCGTGACCGACTGATCGAACGTGAGGAGATACTCCCATACTGTTCATCCAGTTTCGGTACGTCTTCTCTTCGCGGCTTTCCTCCATGTCTTCCAACTCGATAGGCTCGGTGGGAGTTTCTAGGCTAGAGTGTTGAGTGAACAAATTGGCAACGAACGCCATGTTAAGCTTATGGTTCCCATTGACGACGTTCTTCGGCGAAAGGAACGAGCGACAGCCAAGTTTTTCGGCCTGTTCGAGCATGGTCTCGGCTCGTTTCAAGAGGTCAGGCTCCATCATGGCCAGTGTGTGCACGCCGGCGCCCGGTGGAGCGATTTGCTGCAGCAGATATGTGTAGATCTCGGAATCTTTGATGTCGGTGGTGAAGTTGGTCATCTTGCGATTGCACTGGCTGCGCTCCAGATGGTAGTTGACCCAACGGAGCAGGACGTCGTCTTGTGAAAGTTTGATCAGATCCGCGACCTCCTCTCCGTCCTTCAGAAGGGCAATGAGACCGGGACATTGCTGCAGGGTGATCTGACTGAATAGACCGATCTGAAAGAGGAAGTACCGGATCGAAACATTTCATTGCCCGTGTGGATCCGGAAGGGGGCCAGACAATATCTATTATTATTATCATGTACATATATACAGATACAATGTGGATCTTCGTAAGTTCCTCCGATAAAATTTCGATCAGCAATCGAGGAATCGAAATTTATCCCCGCAGTGCTGCCCACCTTGATTATCTGCCAGAGCAGCGCCAAAACGAGATGTTTCGCGCCTTTGCTGAGGTCGTGTGCGTCGATATTGATGATGTTGCATCCTATGGCCTGCGCCGAGTTGAGCGCTAATGTAAGGTTTTCATGCTTTGTGTACACTGATAGGTTCTGCTTGTTGATTGCTCGTTCGTCGATTGTATCCGGGCATGATTTGTTTATCATTTTACTAGAACGAAGAAAGAATTGAACTATGAGCTCTCTCTGATTCATTCTGATCCTCCGAAAAGTAGTTCAAAGAGAGGGAGACCACGACCCCTTGTTCGGGCTCCTCAGAAACATCCCAATACTCTGAGAGACTGATTCAGACAGGCTCCGAATGGAGAGCGGCGGTCATATTGCTCTGCACGGCTTGAAGCTAGGGGTCCCGAATTCTGGGACTCGGTCGATTCACGATTTATACGGCAGTTTTATCTGACTTGAATGAAGAGGGCCCCGTCGGCAATTTACTCACCATAAGACGATACCGTCTTTCAGCTTGTCGTAAAGAGAGCCATCCTGCTCGTTTATCGGTAGAATTTGTCTGAGGTCAGCATCTCCGAGGAGTTCCCTATTGATCCACGTTGCAAAAGCGGTCTCTTCGTCGAATCGAACGGAATGTGTTGTGCCTGCAGAGAGAAAATCCCTGTGATACGCGGAACCCGCATCGAATAGGCTCGCCAGTCCATCATCGCGGCGGATGCCCCGCTCCTTCATCGAGAACAATTCATATCAAACCATGAAATTGCATAAACGCCGTGATCGCTCTCATGACTGGGCAGTTTTTCGATGCCACATTTGGTTCCTATTCTTCGAAGTTCGTTACCTTCAGACGATGCGTTTGATGAGCCCCCGAGTGTCTTGACCTTTTCGTTTTTCTGCAGGGCTTTCTTGAAGTGAACGCTCTCATCTCTCGAACGGAGATCCGTGTAAAGCTGCTGGAATTCCTCATAAGACATTCTCGATGCGCTCCTAATTTTGCCCTGTGGAGTACCGGTCGCTTTCGTTAGTGCGCAGTCGTGGTGGAACATTCGCTTAGAGTTCCTGATTTCACGATCGACTCGAGCTATCATCAACCTCGCCAGAGAAAATCGAACGATGATCTCGGATAATCGGTTGGTCCTAGCCGTATATCCAATTAATTTCGAATCTCACCTGTTGATTCAAGTCGTCGGCGAGTTTCCGAATCTCCCATTGCGCCATTTTGATACCGACGCAGTCCAATGCGTCCTTCAGCTCCGACAAATCTATGCCATTCTTGGCGAGCTGAAATGACGAGAAAGCACGATCTCCATTAGGTCTCAGCATCGGGAAGAAAACAGAAAATTTGAATCCAACGCCTCCGAGAATTCCGTCCAGCTCGTGCCCTCGGAGCACGGAGGCCAAACCGGCGTAGTTGTCCTTCGGCGTCAATATCATCTCACCCAGATTCATTCGTATCCGACAGCTCAATCAAGAGATGACAAGGCGACCACTTCGGCTCCGCTCGATTATGAACCGCGGGGAGCAAAGCCCTTTATGTCAATTCTCCGGAATCGAAAGCCGCAGCGAGTTCGTTAATTCAGAGCTTCTAGGTCTGTGGTATCATTAGAAGTCGTTTCATATCGACATGCAGCATAAACGGTGCTCTCGTCGTTTTTAGGAGACCCGAGCCGAGGCACGTTCCAACGCATGACACGAACACCAGCTGCCAGCGAGCGCTCTTGCGTTCTGATGACGGAGACAAGCATCGCTTACGCACGCGATCTAGCACCGACCGGATGTCATTAGGAATATCTCGCTACAACCCTTTTCGTAACGGACACGAGACACGAGGTATAATACCGAATATTTTCATGAAGTTTCCGCGACATTCTATGTACATATGTATGTTTGATCGATCCGACTGACTTATTCCTCGACGGGGTCTCTCGAATGGATTCATCAGAAAAAGCGAGTATCGTCTCCCGTGAGCTGCTGGGGGGAAAATAATCGAGAAACGGACCCGGCGGAGAAGCAGTATGTGAAACATTATTATCTCAGCCGGGGCAGCCCTGTGGCGCCGGGAACTCACACCGGTGCGAGAAAAGATGGAAACTAGCGGGAACCTTCTCAAAGTCGACCGCTTGTCGGGACGCGTTACTTTGTCTCGTCCCATCTCGTTGTAAAAGTTCGGCCCGGTCGCGAATTAGCCAACATGCTTGCCTCTCTTGCCCTTTTCTGCTGCCCATCACGTGGCTCGGACAGTGTTTCACAAAACCGCTCGAAATTCCTCAGCTTCACCGCGGCTCGTTTTTTGCTCTTCATCTGACGTCTAACGTGCGTTTGTCCGTATGTACCACCACACGCCCAAAAACGTTTTCGGGACGGATATCGCCTTTGTGATATTTGCTCTATTCCGATTGGAGTAAATGCTTATCTCCACACGCGACCGATAAAACTTTCTCCCGAGAAAAAAAGGACACAAGCAAACAAAAAATTTCGAGCAGCGATCGTCGGAACATCCGCAGCCGCATCGGATCTTAATTATAGATTGTTGAGACTCTCGTTTTCGCCATCCATGCCCTTCATCAAATAAAGCGAGTCAGCTGGCGAACCTCGAGTAGATGCTTCACACCACAGTGGACGAACCAAGGAACTCGCGTTTGAAGATTGAAGATGCTGCATCCTGGTGAAATTAACTATACCTACATATTATTTGTTACACATACATGATTTAATTATGATAAATCTCTGAAAATTCCGGGAGAATCCATCGTCTGATCTCAGAACCCTCTCCACTTGGACAGCGTTGATTTCGAAAGATCTTGGGCTTCAGAATCGTGCGCCGGACGGCTGCTTCACTCGTATTCCCACGGGATTCGTATCGAGGGGAGACAAGCGATGAGCATGTCTCCCTTAATTGAGAGCGTCGTCTTGTCAGGCCCGTCGCGAAACGGAACGCGCCGAATACCGGCCTCCCACTCAACGTCGCCTCATGCAGAGGGAAAGACAGAAGAAGATCATTGACTCGTGGCGGATCAGTGGCTCACATCAGTCCGTTCGCGACGAACTCGACGTCCCTTGGTCGAATTCGATGACTAGAATAGGTTTGGCAACCCTGGAGAGCATGCCGCGACAGTCGATAACTAGGGTGCGGGACCTGAGGCCCAAAAAACGTCCGATTCTCGCTCGCTGAGTCTCTCGAGGACATCGGAAGAGCAGTCCACCACCTGTATGTTGCAGGGGATCGATTGACATGTTTGTCAATCGTTTTCTCGACTAGTGAGCCGAGCTCCGCGAGGGAGAGATTCAGCGCCTACCATCGGGCTGACCCTATTGTCCAGCTCAACGTCTGTGTGTGCGCGCCGTGTCCGACCGAAGAATGCAGAAGTGCCCCTGCTCGAGCCAGGGTCAGGGGACTGCTATCTTCGAGTAAAGGGTCTGGCCGCTGTGCCGCACAAACACTCACAGACGGAGCAGGGGCACGCTTTCTCTTCCGCTTGAAGCTGACTGAAGTTCCATTACTTCTCGGCGAGCTAACGGTTCCCGGGACCGGGCGAAACGACTAAGGGACCGTCGAACGAATGAATGTCGGCTCGTCTGTCTATCTTGCGCGAGGACGCGAGCGGCGAGAAGCACATCGGTGAGCTTTATCCATCATTCTGCAACGCGATCACAGCTCGCACAGTCCTGAGCAAGCGAACCCCGACCGCAAGGATTCGAAATCGTACGGAATCGATTCGTGAGCTGCACACGAGTCAACGGAGCCATAGGCATCGAGACCGGTGCCGAGCTTGCGGATGATTCCAATCAGTTCCGTGAAGTCCTCCGGTCTCCTCGGAATTCCGGATGAAAACAAACGGAAAGCGTGCCGGGACGGAATCGGTTCCGATCTCTAGTTCGCGGTCCGACGAATCCGGAAGGAATTCCCCCTGGATGAAGAACATTCTCGCCTCGAAGCCGCCGAGTAACGGGTCCACCAGTCCCTCGAGAAACATCCATATTCAATTCGAGCGTGAGCTCAAGCGTCGACATGCGTCTCGGGCGTAGCCGATATTTGTTACAAGGACAATGGCCACTCGTTGGGTATGCTTCACTTCTCGGAACCGCGAGATAACGCTGTCGACGCCGCCGCCGCTTCACCGCTATACCGTGGGATTCATCGGTCCATTATGCAACGTCAACAATCAAACACATGGGAATTATAGTTGCTCCCTCTTTTTCTAGGTGGGAAACAATGCACAATGAGCAATGATTGAAGACAAGCGGACAGTCCCCAAGGTATCCGACGCCGACGCCAAGATGGTCAAAATTTCCTACGTCTCTAGAGGGAACAACGGAAGTCACACATCGAACCGCAGCATTTCAGATGATTTCTCTGAGCCGGCGACAAGAAAAGAGGAATAACTTTGAAGAAAAAAACGAGTTAGCGCACAGCTTTTGAGGCCAACTTCGCACCACGGCGAACTATTTCGGGACGTCATCTATCGGGAAAGCGAATCTTCCAATCGGTTTCATCGAGAAGACGGACCATATAGCCGGATGGAAGTTCTGTGTCTTCAGCGAGAAAAGAAGAGGAGCTAGAAATAAGGGAGAAAAACTTCAATGGAGCCTCAAACTCTCGCCGAGAATCAAGAGAAGAATTCACTAAGAAGCGAGTAAGGGACGGGAAAAGACGGTGGCAGCGGCCGACTAATCCGCGAATCCGAGAGGCCGCTCGGACCGGTCGGGGCTTCCGTTGGTCGTCCGAGCAGATATCGAACGCGTTGGAGTTGGCTAATCGAGTTCGATTCCGTTTATGTTTGGGAACCTGTTGCTGTCGCGATCGTTTTTGTTATTGCGGTGGCGGAAATCGTGCCGGAGTGCGTGTCCGCAGACCGGTGACCAAAACAAATCATGATCCGAACAAATCTGTTCGAGGGTCCCCTCGTTAGCGCCGAGCGGTGGCGAATGGTGATCGCGATTGGACTAGGAGGCGCTTTCAGCGTCATTACTGAGCCGTCGTTTGTTTGTTTGGTTCTTTTTGAATATTCTCTCTTCCGACTAGGGGTTCCTGCGTGTCAATCACACACTCGCTTTTTCGCGCGATCGGAAACGTCATCGTCGCCTTCGCCTGATTCAAACTGCCAAAAGTTTGACGGAACATCGTCGGAGTCCGACACTTGCTGCGAGGCAAACCCGCTGGACAACATCACTTGACATATTTCATCGGAACACATTCTGAAACCGTGATCGGATTGTGTTCCGCTTACACAAGCGTCGAAGTTTTGACTGCAGTCTCCGCTGCGACCATGGCAGAAAAATGAATATTTTCCCCTCCGAACGGGGGAAATTTCTTTTGAAAAAAGTCTTCACGCTTTCAGCGACGCTCTCCGAGTGCTGTGGCTCCCGACCCGGACCGGCTCTCTGATGCCCGAAAGCGAAAGTCAGCGACTATTGAAACCAGTCCCATTTTCGGCGGCACAGGAACTGCGATCTGGAATCCAGTGCCATACCATCGACGGCATCCCAGCGACGTAAGGCGATTGCGGAATCATTTTACAGCACCTTCGCTAGCTCGCTCGCTCAACACTCAGACGCTATCCAAACATTTCGCTTTAGGGAACTACAGATGTGGACAATATTGGCGAGGTCGAGGCGCTCGCCTCGCAGCCTCCGCACCGAAATTCGCGGGGATGCAGCGAGAATAAATTAAGCGAGTCAGATGAGGATCGTGAAACTTCTTTAGCTGCTTCGTCCTCATATGAGTTTTTATAATCGCGAACCCCCTACGTATGTATCTTCGTATCTCGTGGTCATGCGAGATTGTCGACCCATGCTCTGGTTTCAGAGCAAAAACTGCGCGGGCGGACCGATGCTTCACGAGCGCATACTGATCACCAACACTTACGCATCGTCAAGTGTATGAGTCGCGTTTTCTGGTTTTCCGCGTCTGCTCCGGTTTCACTGGGCGCGGATGTTGTTGACGGTAGCCGAGTCATGTGCTTCTCAGAAAGCGCGTTAAAGCCCATACGAGGTCGGAGCGACGTTTCGGCTAAATGTTATCTCTACAGCTTTGCTGTTCCAAGCGACGATTTCGAAAATGTCATCGACATCGAGATTGTAAGCGATAGGAGGCCTATGTCAGACGTCACGGCCTGCCAGAGAGACTTCCGTAGGCGGAAGCGGATCGACTCGTGCTAACCAGCCGCCGATGAGTCAATCGCGTGATGATTCATACGAGAAAGAATCTCTCACGTCCAGAGATTTTAGCGTCCCCATCCAGAGCTTCGTTTCCCCCCTTAACTTGACATAACAGGAACAGCGCAAGGGTCTCGCGGCGCGCACTAAATCGAGTTGCTGAATCATTCGGGACAATTTTCCTCCTCGTTTCCCGTAATTTCGGTTTCGACTCTCCGTGGAATGTGATCAAAATTCAAATACGGAACCCCATTCGGTTGTCTGTCCCAGAATTTCAAAGACTGCCTCCAGTGAATACAAGTCGAAAATCACGTCAAGATCCAACGTGAGGCAACGTCACTAGGATCGAAGTCGCGATGGAAATCGGGGTGTAAGTCAATGTCGACTGCCTTCAACCTGAAGCTCGGTTCCTGGAAACGGAACGAATCGAAGGAGGAATTCTTTCCCGTTGGATAGGTGGCGGAAGAGTCGACGTGACGCCATGTTCACGCTTCAGACACGGCTACATGCACGATACGAGCGCAAGAGCATTAAATCGATGAACGACAAAGTGATGCCCATGCGATGTTACGCTGCCACTGGAGTTTTGCGGCGCTGACCGTTTTGGGCTCCTGTTGTTGCTGACGTCGTCGACGTTGGTCGTGTGGATGTTGGCTGGCATTCGCCGGGGGCCCAGCGACTGACTGAGTGACTGACTGACTGCGAGCACCGTAGAGCTGGCGATCGAAAGACGAGCGGACGACTATTTCATCCATGGACCGCTAAATCGAACAAGGCAGTAATAAAGTACATCGAGGGCGGACACCACGCACCGACGTGAACGTCCACCCGCCCCGACCTCCTCCCACTCGGAGTTCGAATCTGGAGCGCTCGGAGCCCCCGCTGCGCTCGAACGAGTCGGGAGATCTATCCTGTGTCCGCGATTCGCCCTCTGCGGGGATAAGAGGATTGTCTAGCGCATCGTTCCGAAAGGCTCGGTCGAGATTCGGTCCGATTGGCCCACGCCGAGCTAAATCATTGGAGCTGCACCGCGCACACAAATCCCGCGTGAGACTCTCACGTGAAACCACACTCGTCCTTTGGACTCGGAGTGCGGGTCCGAGGCTCGCGCTGCCGGATGACAGCGCGCGAACGCTGCCTAAGGAGAAGGAAGGCTCTTGCACTTTGTACTCACCGCTGGAATGCTGGAGAAGAGTTCTTCCCGCTGTTCGTCGCTCAAAACCAAACTCTGGCGGTTCATTTTGAAGGGCACTTTATTCCTGATACCACGAGAATGCGGAGCAAAACGTAGGCTAAGCTACAATGCGACCGGCTTGAAAATTCCTTCACAAATTGACAGCGACCCGTGAAAAAGCGCCCAGTCAATGTAAAGTCGTCGTCGTCGTCGTTGTCGTATTCGCAGCAGCACCAGCGACACAGCACAGCGGTAGCTTGCCAGCGACACACACCACCGCGATTTAAGCAAGCAAGTCCAATGTGATTCCATCGACGTTCCCCTGTTAAGCTAGCGTCATGTCTCGCCGAAGCGATCGCAGCGCCACTCCGGCGGGAAAAAACACGTTGGCACGCAGCTATATCGACACTAACCGAGTACTTAAGGAATGATTACGGCATCTAATACAAAGCCCGATGAGCCGCTGGATCTACGGGGAGCCTTCGTATCGACGACCGAGTCCGCGGATCCGTCGATATCCACCACTCTGTGATGTTCGTTCTGTCATACGGATCGCTCGACGTGACTCATCCGCAGTCTAGGAAACAATACAGGATCTGATTCAGACTCTGCGATTGAGCGATCCTTCTCCCATACGGAATCTTGATCATTCATCGAGGCTTTATCTATCTATCTTCTGCTTCCTGGAAGTGACGCCAGAATGTTGGACCGTCACGGGGAATGACTAATCCCGGAGCTCTTGAGACGGGATTGTTTTCGGTGAATGATCTCCCCTGTTCCCCTGGACTCGTCACCGCGGGGGAGTTCGACACCGGGTAATCTCCTGTGATTTCCAGAAAAAAATCCCGGAATGCTCGAAACCCGATACCGCGTGAGAAGAGAGACTATCGAAGCATGGCTCATGTTCGGAGACTCCTCCGAACTACTCCATGAGGGTAGAGAGACGAGGAGTTCTTTAAACCAAGAATCTTCGGCCGGAAATTCGTTCAGGAAGTGAGAGTCAAAAATAGATGCTGATACCCAAGGGAGGAGCAGCATCTCTCATCTAGAAGAACGTGGTTCCCGCGGACTTCGGGAAGAGATTCATATCTAAACGGTCAAGGCGGGAATTGGTGGAATGCTCCGAATTCCGCGCTCCACCCGAGGACATGAGATCCATGGAGATTCTCCGATCTTGCTCCTAAGTGAGCGCCAGGGTCGTCAACGCGATGAGGAGACCTTGTGTGACATCATCATCTCTGCGGTAGAAACGCTTACCACCGCTGTCCTACGGAGGCGCGGAGCGGGTGAACACAGCGCGCTATGTATTGTGTTTTCTCTCTCTTTCAGGGGCGCGGGCAGAGGAGCAGCAGTCCCGTGGACAGTACAATAGCTGGCCCCAACAATCTGCTACTGTCATGGCCCGCATTTCCAGCTATCGCTCTGTCCGTAAACACAGCTGCAGCAGCCGCAACACAAGTGCAAGAAAGAAGAAAAAGAAGGCACTGCGCTCTGATGGTGGTAAGCACCACCATTGGCCGTTGGTCGTCGTAATTGCAGTTCACGGTTTCCTTTGGCGTTTCTCGGTTTTGAGTCTCTCCTGATTTGATAATGGACGAGCGCTCCGAGTGAGGACATGTAACCTTTCCCTGGATTTCGAGCGACGTTCACTGAACTGACCAGCTCAAGCAGTAACGTCGAAGAGAGGCGCTCCGAATCATCTTCTAGCACGACATGGACTTTCGCCTATCCGCATGCGCTTGCCGAGTTCTCAAGTGAGTCTGGAATTCACGCCATGACAGCTGACATCGTTCGCTTTGATGTTTGAGTATTATTTTCCAACAGTGGTGTTGTTGCTGTGTTTGTTGTTACCATCGTTGTTGTTGCCGCGGGCTCTGGCCGTATGTATTTACATCGCCGGAGCGGAGGATCTCGGCCCGGATTAAGTCTGACCGGATACGGTCGACCTCACGACATGTCCTTAGGTCGTTCTCCGCATTTTCCCCGCGGAATTCCTTAACTAATGCACCGATTCGGAGAGAGTGTCATCCCGGATTTACAGCTGGTTTAGCGCATCGAGTGCTGTCACTCATCCGTGCGGGGTGTAAATACTCTGCGACGGATGTTGACGTTTCGCGTTCCCAAATCGCCACTCACCTAAACGGAGTGGGAATGGAGGATCGGCTCCTACCCTCAAACCTGAATTCGCTCAATAACATAATTTGGAGATCTGTGTTTGGGTTCATGGTCAGACCGTTTTCCATAGCCCACGTGCTTTTCCCTCCGGTGTACCGGAGGTTCAAGGTCCAGTCGACTCTTATTGTTCACCATTCGGAATGGATTTGAACGGAGAAACGATGACGAATAATATCAATTTTTAACGTGCGTTACTCGAAAATCAGAATATTCCAAAAGCGCGCCAATACAAGTGTTCACCGATGGAGACCAGAAAGCTGTTCTCTTCGATTAGGATCGTGAAGCAGTATCGTTTGCGGAACGTCAAGTTAACCGCGTCGCCGGAGAAAGAATGCAATATGATCTCTGATACGTTAGAACTCTGCTCTAGAAGAGAACCCATCTCACAGCGTCGAGAAGATAATTGGTGCGAGTGCAGTCCGCGACCAAACCGCTGGAAGCGAGCGACGATGGCAAGTCGCGCGGTTATCTTTAGACTCGCTCGACACATCTAATCATGTTGAGATGCTGGGCGGAAGGATGCCGCACTTGGTTTTGCAGCTTCCCGCGGACAATGCAAAAAAAATCCAGGTCGAGAATCCAGACTGAGTAATTTCTTGTGGATGCCTTCGCTCGAGCATCGATCCCGAGCACGGCTTGATTGAGTACCTAATCTTGCTCCACATCGGATAATGTCCTTATCATGGATCAGTCAAAGCTCAAACGAATCTAGGGGATTGCCGTTTCCTTGTTCCCGTATTTCTCCCGCATGATGACGGCTCTACATCGGGACCCGGGCTCACCCCCCCCGATGGATCAGCGAATCAGCGGAGAACCGTATTCCAAGAAAACGCGAACCCGAGCCGGGAACTCGGACTCCAAGAAGACGCGAATTCACTCACAATCGATTCTTTGATCCCCCACAGCGTAGAGCCGGTCCGATCCGTCGTATCATAACGTCGGCTGCCGAGCGCCTTCACCGAGGCCGCAGTGGATCAGATTCGTGAGATACAATAAACTGCAGCATCGGCATCCGACGCAATCCCATTGCGTCTGACGAGACCGTGATGGCGACGATGGGTCACTCTGCTTGGCACATGGATGACATCGATGATGCTCTGGCTGCAGACTTCGACGGCTCGCTCTCGGGTCTGGGCATCGAGATCGGGACCTCGTCCTTCAACATGAGCGAAACCCTGCTGGCCCTGCCGTCTCTGAAAGGTAAGAGCGAATGCAACCGCGCGCGCCCACCGATCACCCGTGGATCCCCGTTCCTCTCAGTCCGCTTGCGGTCGACAGCACTGAATGACGTTTGGCGTACACCGCAGATTCGGTTTCAGGAGGGCACATGCCGCATGGACATCACACGGCGGCAGCTCAACAGCGAATAAAGAAAAATCGACCGCTGCAAGCCGAGGAGGAGACCGCACCGACGACGATCAAACGCTTCTGCAACGACCCCAGCCAGCAGCCTCAGAAGCATTCAACCTCTGCACCGGATCTCCGGCATTGCACAACGGATAACTTGCTTCTCATGCAGCCGTCGTTAGCGGGCTCGTCGGTTTCAACATCTCCCGCCGCGACGGCGTCCTCGTGCATCGGTGCTCCCGTCCACGCCAGCATGTTCCAATGCGTTCTGGGTGCTGCGACTTCGATTGCGACCAAGGTGAACGAGCGCACCATGACCTATCTCAACCAAGGACAGTCGTACGAGATCAAGCTGAAGAAACTCGGGGACCTCACCGAAATTCAGGGGAAACTGCTGAAGAGCATCGTTCGGGTCGGCTTCCAGGAACGACGTCTGCAATACATGGAAAAGGAGCAGATGGAACAGTGGACTTCTCAACATCCCCTCGAACGCGTTCTCGACGTCGATATCCCCCTCAGCTACGGTGTTTTCGATGTCGTCACCTATCCGAAAATCATCAACGCCTTTGAGTTCATGTGGGACCCGACCAAGGAAACCGGGGTTTTCGTCCGACTCAACTGCATAAGCACAGAGTTCACGCCAAAGAAACACGGGGGCGAGAAGGGAGTACCTTTTCGACTGATCGTGGAAACGTACGCGCACGATGGGGGCGTCATGCAGAACCAGGTCCATAGCGCGTCCTGTCAGGTGAAAGTCTTCAAACCCAAAGGCGCAGACAGAAAACACAAAACCGATCGGGAGAAAATGATCAAGAGACCGTCGGCTGAACAAGAACTCTACCAACCGAGTTTCGATTGCACGTTCTTCACCGAATGCAGTGCTCCCCAGCAGGGCTCGTATTCACAGCAGAGCCCGCCCGTCGACGGTACCCAGGCAAAGGTAGAACCTGTCACCTCTACGCCCGTGCAGAGCTCGTCGAACGCATCGATCCCTTCGACGGCGTTCCCTCCGAGTCCGGAGTCGACCGCGCCGCAGACCCCGGCGACTCCCTTGCGCGCGGCGCAGAGGGTCAGCATATCACCACCGACCAGTTTGGCGGGATCCGACTCGGAAGAGGTTCTCTTCTTGAGCAGTGAGGCCACTCCGCAGGAAACTGCCGAGTGGTTGAGAATGAATCGTTTCAACAACTCGGCTCAGACTCTGAGCACGTTTTCCGGGAGTGATTTGTTGCGCCTCGACAAGAATGATCTTGTGACGATTTGCGGCGTGGCAGAAGGTATTCGACTCTTCAACCTGCTGCATGCGAAGTCCATCAAGCCCGCCCTCACCATTTACGTCGGCAGTTCGATAGAGGAGCCTTTCGCACCGATATTTCTAGAAAAAGCTACGGCGTACCATCTCAAATACGCGTTGTCGTCGGCTGCGGCGGCGCCGTGTGAGTACCTTTTTCTCAGAGGCCCCGGCGGCATTCGGATATCGATTACTGATGAGCTTGTTCGCAACCTCAATGACGAGGGTGCCTATTTTCTGGAGAAACACGATAACGTTACGTTGATGTCGCCCGCTCGAACCAATGTGCAAGAGTGAGATATTTCTCTACGGTGTCGATTCTATCAAAGAAAAAACTGGTCTTTACGCTATGAACTCGCTGAATTCGGTCATCTACCCTCTTTTCCTCGGGGAGTAGAGGAACAGAAGAAAACAAGGCTCCTGTCGTCACAGCAGAGAGCATTTTTCCGGTCGATTTCTACTTAATGAATCTGGGCCAGAGTTCCTTCGACGAGAAGCGATTTTTCCGCACGAATAGTTTCTAAGCAGAACACCAAGGACAGGATCATCAGCATCTATATACAAAGGATATATCTGGGGAGGGGAAGCAGGCGAAAGAACTTGTGATTAATATAACTCGGCTAGCTTCATGTCAGGTCGATATTCATGCGAGGAATTTGTTTTTCCAAATATTCCCGAGAAACGCACGTTCGGAGAAACGACGCGACGTGGAGTATGCTGACCGAGAACTGGAGGAACTGTCCAAACACTCAATGACGAAATAAAACTTGCATCTATTTTGTTACCGTTTGAGCTTGGTGTTGTCGCTTTTCGTGGGGTCCGCTCGCTGAGATCATCTCACAATACAGGGCTCTGACGAATTCTGGTATCTTGCAACGAGGTTTCTGATATCGATTATTCATTCCATCACGCAATCGAGGACGAGACAGAGGTTTTCGAGCCGATGTATCCGGTGTATGTCACATTTTAAGTTTCAAGGAGCAGATACCCGTGAATGTTTCGCGACTTCTCCGCATGATTGGAGGCCCGAGGGGTATCCCCCAGTTTTCTGAGGCCGAGACGGGGAATCGAAGTGCGGAATCGCTTGAACTCAACCGAAACAATTCCAGCGGTCACGTCTGAGACTTTCTCGAAGAATTCCGATCACCTCAAGCGAGTCATGCACACACATGAGCGACATCAGAATTGAAGTGGTCAATGAGAATGTCAATTATATACTCCCAATGAACTCCCGCCGTCTTCGCGAGGATGGAACGAAGCTCTCACGAGCAGCTTGATCCCCATAGACGTTCCGTTCTCGGGGATCAGGATTCCTCAGGCATTTCTTTTAATCCAGAGGAGCTGACTTCGATAGGAACTTATGGCTTGCTGCGAGCGGAAAGAACGCTCGGTCGGGGGGAATTGGCACTCAAAAAACTCGCTGATCGATTCTCGGCACGGCTTCTTTCAGCCCTCCCGGAGCTTGCGAGGGAAAATAATATATGAAGCGATCAGTGATTCTCGGACGGAGTAGAGCTTCGCTCCGAGCGTCGCCCTGTCTGAGGATGAGCTCAAGCTCGTGCTGCCCGGTATGGACACGGAAAAAATTACGGACGCTCACTTATAGGTAAAATTGTCCCGGGGTTTTATTATTTGATATATTAACTACTGACATCAACATATTTCATCGATTCGAAATATCTATGTACAGAATAAATTAAAGAGATGCCACATTGTTTTTTCCAAACTGTGTATGTATGTATATCGGTCGCTGAGAGCGGCTCGATTCATGACCAACACGGGGGAAGCGGCGGTAAATGCTATCGCTTATCACGGACTCTTGACACAGGCTCTGTGTGACGACTACCCGTTCCCGCAGAACAGTCTTCCCATGACTGATTCGGAGCCACCGCACACAGAACTGCTCGAGCCTAATAATAGCATGTTTATAGTTCGTCAGTAACGTCAATGTCACGCGTGGAGTATTCCAACATCTTGGGAGGATGGAATGTGTCTGCGGTAACATCGATCGTGCTAAATGATGATGTTCAACACCACATCGGCAGGATTCGAGGCTTGGGAAAATCAGCTCGGATTTCCCAGCTATTCAATGGCAATCTTCCTCAGACTTTTCTCTCCTTTCTTTCTCCTATCCTCCAGAGGTAGACATTCTTTCATACACCCATCCACTCGTCCTCCCACCACCGGAGCGTCAGGATAGTCCTCCACCTTCTCTTCGATGGAGAACGAAAAGCCCCAGCGACGGTCGCCCAGACTTCACGCCCCTCTCCTAGGTGATTGCAAATGTTAGATGAGTAAACAACATGGGGATGCCGCGAATGAAAATAAATAATGGAATGAAACTAACTACGGACGACAGGTAGCTACCGGCCCAACCACCGGAACCTTCTTCGGTGGGGAGACTTTCACGCGAGCTCAGCTCAGATGTGAAGTTGCGAGGAATTCGAGAGAACAATAGGTGAAACCCACCGATCCCACATCCGGGTGGCAGGGAAGAGATCGAGGCGCAGCAACTTTAACAAGTGGAGGTGCGACCGGTGAATGCATTTTAAAACAGAAGCCAGGCTATACGAACTCCTCGCAACCTCAAACCTGGGTCCAAAGGGTACCCGAGGATGTTCTTCGAGTTTTCATGAGTTGCTCTTCTTCGAGATTATTGTTTTCCCCTTTCGGGATCAGTGTCGCGCTGAATAGTCTACCGGCACTTTGATTTGGCTGAGCTCTACGTATGACAGTCGCTTTGCCGACGATCCGGCCTTCGAGCGAACCCATTGATTTGCTCCGCTCGAGACGACCCGGGGAACCGCCCTTGTTCTTCTGGATCGTGTCAATATTTTGATATATATGGGAATCCAACAGTTTCAATTGCTGTTCGAACAGGGCTCCCACGACTTTATGAACGAGTACGTACTGTTCTCTGGTTTGCACCTGAAAGCAGAGATCGATGTTAGGAAATCGATATGGTTCTCGAAAAACTCCGTGGAACAATCGTGGCATTGGCATCCCCTATCAGAACCAAGACGGGCTCTCCGAGGAATAACGATCAGCCGAAAGGAATTATTGATGGTGGCGACACTGACCATGGCAACCCGTTGCTGGCGCATTTCCGAGATGATCTTGAAGAGATTCAAATTAGTGTTGAGCTTCCCCGAGCGTACGAGACCGTGCACGTAATCGATCGCGCAGAATGTCCCGGTACGACCGCAGCCAGCGGAGCAGTGGACTAGTACGGGGAGTGCCTCACTCGGTTGACAATCACGGACGAGTCTCACTAGTTCAACTAAGGGTGAGATGCTTTCAGGCACTCCGTGGTCCGGCCAGGTGGTGTAGTGGAACTGACAGATGGTTCGAGTTGTTTGACCGCATCGGGAGCGTAGCGTGCGCACGAGGAAGTCAGGACAGACTTCTTTCCACCCCTCCAGAACGACCGAAACATTCCCTGAAGATAGGGAGAGAAAATGTTATTTCGAAGTCGATGCGCGTTCGACCACGACCCAGGTTGATTCTTCCAGAGGTAGAATTCCCCGAGTCCCGTGAAACCACACACAATTGGCGGAAGAAGAATCTGTCCGGCAGGAAATTCCGACTCACCGTATTGTTGACGCTCGCCAATCTGGTCCGGCCAATACTTCTCGCACTTGTATCTGTCGCCTTCGATCTCATTGCATGTCATCACGATCACGCTAACGTTGTATTCCCAGATCATCCGCCAGAAATCCGTAACTGTATGAGGTAGAGGTCCTTGTGCAGCGATATACGCTCTACTTGACCCTGAAGCACCCTTGATTAATGATGCATTTACATAATCACTTCCTGGCACCCCAGGATATTCTGGCAGTACGACCTGTAAGATTGGAAGCGTCAATGAAACAGTTGAATTCGTAACATCTTCGTCGTTCGGACGCGTGCGGTAAAGGACGCGCCGCCGATATATTTTGCTACGGAAGCGTGAATTCCAGCGCAGGCTATGCGCGGCGGTGCCTCTCATGAGAGGGCGGAACTCTCAATAGTCCCTAGAATGTCCTCTGAGCGAGAGTTTCTGATAAGGATAACGCAGATGTTCCGCTCTCGAATAGACGACTTGAAAACTCACCCTGGAGGTATCGAAGGGTATGATATCCTTGTATCGATTTTTCGATCTGTTGACGTTTTTCAAGGCTTGCTGGGCGTTCTTCTCCCCTGCAGGAGTACTCTGTTTCCGGAGAGAGTCGAACTCCTGTTGAAACACGTCATCGCCCCCACGAACTTTCGCTTCTTGCCACCACAGAGTCTCGAGAAAGCTCTTCAGGTACTGATCAAGCGACATTGTGTCTGAAAAAGATTTCGCCTTCGTACGGGTCTTCTGAGCTTTCTGGATGGCAGGTTTCCTTCGACGACCGAGCGTGAACGAGAGACACGCGGGTGTGAACATGGTTCCCATGGGGCTTGGGGCTGCTGCCTCGCTAAACTGCGGAAGCTCTCCAGGACACGAATTCGATCTGGACAGGAATGACACTCCTCCAACTGCGGTGACAACTGTTGCGAAACCGGCAGTGGACGGTGCTGTCCCGGCTTAGTGAAGGAGGGGCATCACTCGTAGTTTAGGAGCTCTCGAGTGGGGGCACAGAACCGAGAGCCACGACAGGCTAAGGTAGAGTGATGATGGCGAGCACCAGGTACAGCTCTGGATGTTTGGCAGGCACCGTGCTCGCTAACCAAAGCCAGAATGGGGCGGTCTGTACAAACGGAGTGGCTCTCCTTGACTGCATCAGCAACTCAATGCCCCTAGTGGTGGCGAGCAGCATCGCTCTACAAGGCTGCCTCCCTGCTGCACTTCGTGAGGCGCCAACGAGTGCCTCTCGCTCGCCGTCGTCGTTCAATGAAGCCGAGCCCACTCGTGCACCCTTGCCCCGGCGGAGCGCGGTAACATTCTCTGTCCTTACCTGTGGCCTCCGAAGCACGTCGGCTCCTGCGTCGTCTCCTGTCGTCACTCTTATATCTGACAGGAGTGTCGTCTTGCTGCAATCGAACCGTGGCTCGCTGATGATGATGACGACCGATGATGATCTGAGCTCCGATGATTCTGCTGCAGCGCCTCTCCGGCTCCGGGCGCGCAGCGGAACGACACCCTGGTGAGCCGACCGTCCGGCCGCTCCAGACTGCGATGAGCGAGGCGAAAATGTTCCACCTTGATCGCGGAGGTATCTGGAATAGGATTATTACTACCAGACTGGGAAGTGTTCGCGCTGCGGACACGATTCCGCATTCCCGTCCATGAGGGTGTTGTTTTCTAGAGTCAGCCCACGGCGAAAAATTCAGAGTAGTTTGGGCTCTCCGATTTTCGGTATTTCGCGTATCGGAAGCTTTCGAGAGCGAATTCAAATTCTTCAAATTCGAATCCGGAAATTATTCCTCGTTCAGAGCTTTGTCATTTCAAGTGCACAGGGCGTATTCAAGGTCGAATCCGCACGGTCCGCTATGATTCAGCGAAAAAATTAGCCCCACGGATGCCTGACTCGAAACTTCAGATGTGCGATTCTCAGAAGAGCCGGCGCCGGATCGAAACAAATATTCGTCGGTCAGCCTCCCGGTGTCGGTACGGTCTGAAATTTGTTGTTTTGTTGATCAGATGAAGGAAAAGATGCGCGTGGATAGCGGCTCTCGTTGTTGCTGTTGTCTTCGTGGTCCATTCAATGAGAGGCCCCATCGAGAGTTCTTTTTTGATTTAAGGAACGCCAGGAATGTTCCGTCCACGCGAATGCCTCGTACGTGATCGCATTTTTTGAGCCGTTGTCGGCTGGGCTTGTTCGGTGTCCGGCGTTTCAAGTGATCTGTATCGGCAATGAGGCGGCATTTCCAACCCCGAACCGCTCGTTGGAGACATCACGATCTTAGAGCTCTGACCGAAGTGGCTTTCAGATGATCGGCTCCGTGCAGAACTTGTCGGTACGCCCTGTGAGCGACTACGAGAAACTGCGGTCACCGGACATATCGAATACAGAAGATGAAGGAGGGGAATCAGATGTTTGAAATTACTCATGTAAAACTCCAGATCGCATGCCATGCACTCTTTGGGCTGCTCATTCGAAATCTGTGAAAGATACGCATTTTGTCGTCCTGAGTTAGAGAGAAAGTGCCGCGGAGTGAGATTCCCGCGGGCTGTCATCGCTCTCGTTCTCGCCCGTGACAGTCCGAGCACCGACGTCACAAGGTTGCTTCAGTTCGCTGTCTCAGAGGAATTCAGCAAACCCGGGTCTTGCGCCCGAGGAGCGTCATGGATGACAGCTGCAGGAAAATTGACGACGCCGACATTGGATCCTGCCTCTGAATATAGGGGTGGACGCTTGTTGTGATGAGCACATGTGCTCATTATCCATTATTATTTGCCATTCGCTGAGGATCCACACACTATGCTATGCATGGTGATGGATGAATTGCTTTGCCATCTCGTGACAATTCGTGGCGATATTTCCACCTTTCGGCAGCGTGACAAGAAATGTAATGTCCGAGAAGACTCTGCCGGTGCAACGGAGTCTCCCATGCGCTCCGGAGCAGATGGGATTATCACTCTCGCAGGTTAACATCACCTTGTTGCTCTCATCCTAGACCTGAGCGGGAACCCAAGGAAACAAGTCCGCTGTAGCTGCAGTTCAGCGTCTCCTGCGGTGACACGCTTGCTCAAAAATCCATCACCGATACGAGAATATTGGGCCGAACGACTATGACGGTAGAATGAGCACATAAGAAAAATTGGACAAGTCTCATGCTTCGCGATCGAGTTTCTTTCGTCGTAGGCTCCGTAGGGGACGGGGCCGCTGTGTGACCTGCGAAATGTGGTCCATGGACAAATGCATGTGGGCAGCGACGAACGAAAGCTCATTCGAGCTCGGAACGAGACCATCGCTTCCATAGTAATGGAAAAAAGAATGAACTGCAGAACAGACTTTGCTAGAAAATAAAGAATCAGATGCTTTCTGCCGAGGGAACTAAACTCGAGAACGACCAACTCTTATAGAACGCATTCAGGAGAGGAGACTTCCCTAGAGAGCTTTCAGCGCCTCCTGGATTCCGTGCTGCTCCTCCATTCAGATCAGATAATCGTGGGAACTTCGATTCTGGCACTCTTCTCTTGGCGTACCTTCTTTCGAGATGATCATCGTAATCACCCACAGATCATGAAAGCATGATCGAGGCAGCTGAGCACGTGGAGCGAACGATGCGTCGGAAAGGTCGACATAGATATCGAAGGAATTACGACGTGCATATATCTTTGGAATCGAGAGTCTTTCAGGCCGTCTCTCGAGTCAACATCCACTCGAATCTCATTGACGGGACCTTGGAGTAGGCTAAGGCTGTCAAGAACCGCCATGACTCCTCGAGCTCCGAGAGTCACGGCGGAGGAATCCTCCGCCGACTTCAATTCTTGAATTCGTAACCGCTTACTCTCAGAAATTTGAATTCGCACACAGCTCCTCTCAGCAAGGACTAGTATTGTCTCGGCCGTGCCTGGAAGAGTCAAGGAGGCTATCGGAAGCGAGTCCCTTTGGAAGTCTCCGAGAGCTCGAATAAGTCTAGGTCGGGGGCGCCGTCCGTCGCCACTTCCAGGTGACGATTAATCGACGGATCGTCAAGAAGGCGGTCGACGGTTCAGGTATCCGCACACATGAGATGAGAGAAGAACGCATTATCCAAAGTTCCCACAAGCAGTTTCCAAGGTCTCTGGCGTTTATTTGAAGCGGAAAACTCTATTTTCGATTGAGAATGTCATCCGCGGCGGCGGCGTCTTTCAATAGTTTTCTTGAGATTCGTGTGCCGAAACGAACCGCCGGGACTCCTGTTTCTTTTCTTATCGAGGCTTCAGATTTTTGATTTCGTAGCATGCATTGGGAAATACGGGCCGTCCGATTTATATGCCCATCCATGAGTAAGACCGAATGAAGCCCCTTACTCCATACGGATGATGCCTCGGAGGTTCCGGGCGGGAACACCTTCTCGGTTTCGCGGAAGAGTTCTTGCTCCCTCGATGGGAAGTCTCCCTCTGAAGATAGTTGAAGAAGTCAGAAACCGGAGCTTGAATAAATAATGGCCATTAAGAATCTCCAGACTCCTGCATTCAGTCGAGCTACTGGCTCGAGGTTCTATATTTAAAAGAGAGCGAGATGAGGGTATCACCGGAGCAATTTCGCTCCAGATCCGCTCTTCGAGGGTCGCATCGGAGGAATTGGCAGCAGTAGTAGTTCTGCGGGCCGACTACAGATCGATACGCCGCCAATCTCCGTCGAATGCGCGAACGTGGCCAATCGACAGCGCACTTGAGAGACTTCTATCACGCACCACGAGCCTGCAAGGGCATTCGCGCGACATGCCGCGTGACCGACGCTCGATAGTGTTGTTGCCCCGAGAAATGATATCTTAAGGAGAGATGGACGAAGAAGAGCTGTTTCGACGAAGTGGATTCCTAGTCATCGGAGGAGGGATCCCAACTATTCTCACGAATCGAATCCTCTCGTTGAATATGCGCATGCATAGAAGTATCGTGGACTCACTCTTCCCGTTTCCACATTGAACGGTGCTCTCCCAGGAACTCCACGAGCTTGGACGATCCCTGTTTACAGAGAAGAGTCAATCTGTTATCATGCGACATGATCGGAGGATATAGAGCTGAGAGTCCGCTCGAAAATAGTGATAAGATGGTCTGTCGTAACTTGAGGGAGGGTGCCGTCTCTATTGAGCCTGGGAACATAGCGAGCCATGTGAATCTTCTCTGTACCGATGGGGGGCGATATTTCAATGACGCCAAAGCAAATCACTCTTTCCAAGTCGGAAGGTCCCTCGGTTTATGTGGCGTGCTCAAGTCCTGCATGGAGCTCCCCCGTTTCTCCATGCAAGGTCAGCCGATCCCGTCGGCGACTTTCTCTTTGTCGACGAGTGCTGCGCTCTGCCACGTCCCACACTCGATAGCACTTGAATTAAGAATCGAACCGAGAGGCCTTAGGAGCCCCGGCACTCAATGTCACTCGAGGGGGAGCGAATGAATCGCAAAAGCTCCCCGACAATCGGAATTCGGGTAATTATGTTATGAATTGAGAATTCATTCCTGTAAACCATGTATCCCCCCGCGATTCCCACTACGGTCCGCTTTGGAATGAGTGAGTGAGCGATTTTGAGTGGGTTGCTCCCGTGCCACGCAGCCGGAGATCGCGCTCGAAACTCGAAGGGAATTCTCTTTCCAGATCGCTCCCTATGACGGGCTGGTGGAGGTTCGGGAGGAAACGAAACGACCCTCGCCTCCGTCCTCCCTTCCGTCGCAAGGCGAGACTCTCGCAAGGAGACCGAATCACGCGCCGGATCAACCGGAGTAGAGGCTGTGGTGTTCAAAAAAGCGCTTCATCGAGACACGTGAGTTTAAGAAGGGCCATTACGCGTATTCGACAGATTTTCAGCGTCGAAATGGACGCTCCCAGGTACTACATCGATGTGGATTGGCTCCCAGCTTCGTATTAACAAGCCATTCATTACGGCGAGATACATGTTTCTCTAGCGGTTGGAAGCCGGCTGACCCCGCCACTTTCCCGGCGGGTTTCCTTCTATGAGGGATCCATTATCTAGTGTAAGATAGCAGAGGGAACCCACGAGGGGCTACTCCGAGGTGACTCTGTGCTTGATGGCGGCAGAGACAGTTTCTCGGAAATGTCGACGACCGGCTTCCATCTCCGTGGATAACATCCGACATGTTCGCTCCATCCAGTCAGTGGATTTTCCCGCAGAAACCGCGAAGCCTGGGGATGCCCCATACAGTGCTCGCCAGTAGGAATTTGATCGGCTGATCTCTCATTCCGAGTTCGATATGTTCAGAGGTCGAGATCAGTGACTTCAATTCGGCGGGGTATGTCTCCGAAATTCTATCGCTGCAAATGAATCGAGCCGGCTCGACGGTGTCCGGGAGTGTTTATCTGTGACAATATTCTCGTATTTATCTTTTCCCGGAGGACTCGTACCGATCGCGTTTCGTGAACATCGAATGACTCTGTGATCCAATCTTGAACCAGGGTGTTGGGAAGCAGTTCATTTGAAACCGTTCAAGCTTTTTCCGAGCTTGCGAAACTCTAGCGCATGCGGAACGAAGCCTCGTCGTTCCCCGGAGCTAAACCCCCACACGCACGAAACATGAATTTCGGCCCGACTACCGATTCGACATGAGCTGTTTAGCTCAGAGAAGTGGGAGAGCAGGCGAAAGATTGAGGGCAGAGCGGCTATCGGCCCTTCTTGATGCCAGGCTCGAGCGAATTCTCGACCTTAGTCATTTGGAAGCGGATGAACTCGTCCGAGTGAACTCCATCCTCATGACTCACGTCATGTTCGTAGCTGTGGTCCATTTCATCAAGGGAAGCAGGAGATCGGAGTTTGATGATAATTGTCTTGATGATGTTGCAGGACTATCCTTCCTCGGCAGATAGAGCCGGGTAGCTTTCCCGCTCAAGCGACCCCTAGACAACGGGCTCATCGTGATCAGAGCCCGAACTATATCTCGAGCGGAGAGCGTTCAACAACTCAAAGGTGAGCTATGGCCGAGACGCCTGATGTGGCTATCAGATCTCTATGCGGACGCATAGGCTATTTTCGAGAGTCTTGGTTGCGCATCGTCCAGTGTCAGGCGTCTCCGACGAGACCGCTTCCGGCTCCGAGATGCTCGAGGAATCGTCTCGTATCCATCTCTCTGAAGTCGACCGAATTTCTGTCCTTACCGCGTGGCCCGGACTCCTCGTCTCGAATGTCATAATTCAAATCTACGCTGGTCCCTCATGTCTGATCCGAATCACAGAAGAGGTACAGCCGAGACGATCCGGCAGGAACTCTGCACACGGGTGAAATCTTCTATCCTCAACGTTTTCTCTAAAATGTCAATGCACTCGATATTCCACCTGTTATCCCAAGGGTTTCTGGACGAACTTGTTTCGGAACATCCGGTATATGTAGCTGATTGCACTCATCCTTCGTCGTGCACCGCCCTCGGAGTTGGGATGACGGATGGAGACCCACATTTCTAGATCTAGAGAGTCTTAAAGTCTCAGTATTGAGGATAGCGGCTGCGTAACTCAATGCGTATGTTTTGTTTGCCGTCGACCAGACCTGCGGTCCTCCGCCGACCGGAGAACAGGCGCACCTCAGACTTTCACCGCGCGGAGCTCAGATATTATCCGCTGATCACACCCGCGGACGAATCTCTGACTCCGAAATTGGGTGGTCATTTCTTCCCGTGGATTGGGAGCCCGTGGCCGGCAATTCGTCAGTCAGATGAATATTCGTACGGCAAAATCTTCTCCCTTCGATTGTAGAAACTCGAACTGGCGATTTGGCTTCAAGTCAAGAGTGAAATCGTTCGTCCTCGCCGATCGAGAATCGATCTAACTGGCGCTCTCAGCTGTATAAAAAGAGCTGAGAACTTCGGTTGAGCGACAAACGCGATAGACGCACACACCCCGATGGTTTTGAAGATTACCGCAACTTCCTTTCCATTTCAGATGAAGGGAGCCGGCTCAGCATCCGGCAATCCTTCGGAATGCCTCCGTCTCTTGCAGACAAGCAATGTTTTTCTGGCGCTTTTCACGCTGGTGAGATTCCCCTGTTTCAGCTGACATTTCATCTTCTTTCCGAGGACGGTCAATAATTCACGAGCGATTTCCGAACGAGATCCCGACGTATTGTATCTCTTCTCGATCGCACACGCAAAAAATGCGCGTACTCGGACACTTTGTCATCTATGTCATCAAGTTTTCCTCTCTATAATAATTTCGCTTGTGACATTCCTCAGGGCTTCGTGACCGCCGTCTTCGGCCCGACACTCAATGAATTGAATGATGTCTACCACGAGAGCATCAAGAACACGGTCCAGCTTCTCTCCTTGCGAGGCTTCGGAGTCTTCGTCGGTGAGTTGCCTCTGTTGTTCGGGAGACGCTCGATTATTTCCCACTTCTTACTGGAGTCCGCGGACGGACGACAGGTCGAGAGGGCATGAGTCGAGAGAGGATTGGTGCTCCTTGGAAGCGTTTTCGGGAGCAATGAGAAGAGTAATACCCAGGCCCTTCGATCGTGAAATGTGTTATCCAGCCAGATTCAGATTGGGACCCAAGAACTATCGGCATGAGATCGCAAGGGTCGGGGAATCTCGTTCGAAAATATATTCAATCAACCGATCTTATTTGAAAAGATACCTCGAATTCCCCGCAGGATCGCTTTTGGGCAGCTCCATATTGTACAGATTCTTCAACGGAAAAATATGCCTAGCGTTAGCGATGATCCTTGGAGGGTTTTTCCACGCTATCATACCCGTTCTCCCGAGCTTGGCACATGCCGCTGCAGCCACGTTAGCCGCTGGGACTTGCGTCGGAGTACTCGAAACTGGTATGGTAGACCTGAAGTGACCGATTGTTCATCCCCCACTCCGCTCCGGATAAATTATCCGTTCCTCAGCGGAGCTCAAGCTCCCAGATGGAAGTCTCGGGCGGAGTTCACACGATTCCCGCTTTCAGGAGGCAATGTATGGCTGGTACAGCTGTGGAAGGACAAAGTTGGTCCCGTTTTCCAAATGTATCATCTCAGCTACGGAATTGGCGCGTTGCTTTCCCCGGTCATCGTGGAACCTTTCCTCCGAACTGAGTGAGTAGTCGAAATTACTGGAATCGGAAAGAAATATTTTCGTTCATCCTACGCATTCCTTCCGATGTGCGTGAGAGCGCCCTGTCTGATTCCGACTTTCTGTCGATTGCAGAACCCACGGTCATAATGCGACTGAAGCACATACTGACATAGCTGCCGAGAGCGTGGTCCATGTGCCCTTTTTGATATTCGGATCGTCGTACGCTCTGGTCGGAGTGCTGATGCTGGTGCTCTTCTTCTTTGACACGTCGAATGTCACTCAACAAACCCCCAAAGACGATGGGAAGGGAACGAAGACGAACAGTGCATTCTTCGAGGTCAAAATAGTAGCGCATCTCATCCTCTTTATCTTGATCCTGGTCGCGGTGGAAAACCAGATCGCACAAATGCTCAGTGTTTACGCGATCACCAACGAAGATCTGGATTTCGATGAGCACTCGGCGTCGTATCTCCTCGCCGACTATTGGGCGACCTTCACAATAGGTCGAGTGATAGCAATTTTCATGGCCTTTAAACTCCTCCCGTACACGATTCTCGTTATCAGCAACACGGTTTGCGTCATCGGGACCTCGATCCTGGTGATCTTCGGCATGACGCAAAACTGGTCTCTTTGGGTCTCGATCGGTATCCTGGGTTTCGGCCTGGCTCCGTGTTACGGCGCAGCAATGTCGTGGGCTGTCCGCTACGTGAAGCTCCGATACGTTCACATGACCCTCGTCCTCGTGGCCTCCTGCACAGGTCAGATGATCCCACCCCTGACGGTGGGCTGGAAAATTGCGACCAATCCCCGCGTATTCGTCTACGCCATCGCGGGTTTCATGATCATCCACACTATCAACGTGTCTCTTATGTATCTGAGCACTAAAGGAGCCGTGGCACAATCCGATAAAGAAGTCGAAGCCAATCCAGCGAAAGAAGTCGTCGATCTACCGGATCAGTGATCGGGACTAATCGCTGATTGTGGAAAATAAGCGGCTCGGCTAAATTCAAGCAGATGCCGGAGCAATTCACTGTTGAGATGAGCAAGAATCCACCGAAGTTGGCTGCGCCGGCCAGGAACGCAGCTGGGACAACCGCATCTTCGTAGGATTTCTATAGCGCATAATATTATAATCAATCGATTCCGAAACGCATAATATTTTAGGGCGAATGATCCTTACTTAGCACCAAAGATGGAATAAGCGAGCGGTAGCCGTTGATTTTAAGCGAGTGAAGAAATTTCGATGCCTACAGTTTCACGCTCAATGTACAAGCATAGTACAGTGCAATTCCGTGCACCGTCGATCTAGATGCTAAAATGATAGTGACAATAATAATCTAATAATGAATGATACGAGCCGTGAGGTCCTGAGCTCCGAGGGCGGTCTCAGCAGTGAATTTATGAATTCACTCAAGAAAAGCAACGGATATGTTAAAGGGAAGCATTGTTGACGGAACCTAGACGAATCTTCCCGCAATTCCGATTAATCCTCTGCATATCAAAATGCTCAATAAGTATCCGGAACAAGGTGTAGCCCCAGGCTACGATGAGGGATGTTCGCTCGTCACTAAATAAGATTCCCGAGGTCGTCGGGGACTTCCTTCCTCTCTTAAACGCAATACTTCTCGCGAAAACGAAGCATCACAACTCACAACACGTCTTCCGGCTTCATCAAGCGATTCAGAAATTTTCAGCGAACTTCCCCAGCTCAGAAAAATCGTGGATTCACCTCAATCTTGTCTCTACATCTTCTAGCAAAGCAGCCAAGATATCGGTCATTTTGTATACAGATTCAAGATTGTCAATAAACTCTCTGAGAGTCCATTCAGCAAGAAGGGTCTCAGGGAGGTAGTCCGACTCCTAGGAGAATACACTGTTTCCGTCGAAGGACCGCGATATTTATTCAACCAAGTTCGAAGCAGCACAAAAGGATATCTGAATAATCATGCTACGGCAATCGGAAGGTGTGTTTTCGGGAGCTGCATACTCTTTGTGGATCTGATCCAATCATTTGGGAGCGATGTAGAAATATTGGACTCGAACACTCGCTTTCTCCTTCGTGGGTCCTGACCAGAGCTGTGCGCCGCGTCACGAATTCGCCGGAGACCGCCGCCGTGCCCAATCCTCATGGAAAGTAACAGAGAACCACGAGGAGAGAATGGAAACTCGGTTCGAGGTACTGAGCTCGCACGAGGATGCGGAGACATAGCATTCAAATGAGACGATCCCATGGCGCACAGCTCTGGTCTTGAATCCCTATACTTCTCACCTCGCAGGGGACTCGGGTATCAATCGGCTCTTTCCTCGAGGCATCGTCCGCCCCGCTCTCCAAGAGTTCCTCGATCCGCTGCTGCGGACTGCAGTGTGACGCCGTCTCAGACCCGGAGAACGCCGGGTCTTTTCCCGCGTCATTTTGGACCTGCGTCATTTTTTCTCGCGTCATTTTGGGCCGGCGTCATTTTTTCCCGCGTCTATTTGGTCGCGTCATTCTGGGCCTGCGTCATTTCGGACTCGCGTCATTTTAGTCGCGTCATTTTGGTCGCGTCATTTTTACCACCTCCCGGAGAACGCGGATGAGAATGTCCGGACCCTTCTCGGAGATCTTTGCGGACCATCGGCAACCCTACAATGAATGGCCGATGCACATCCATCGGAGTCTAACCGATGGAGTTTCACAGCAGCTCAACCGCGGATCGATGAAGCTCAGAGACTGAAATGAGCCGACAGTTTCCATGCGCACCTTGCGACAGTTCTTTCTGTTGGTCGCCCACCACTGCTCCGGACCTAGGAAGTGCGAACGCTCGAAGTCCACGGAGGTGATACAAGCGCGCTTCCGCGTGTCAGGCCGTCCAGACCCAGGCCGCAGAGATCATCACCCGAGCACCATCAGCACCCAAGCAAGGAAAGCTGTCGTCTTTCGACGCGGCGGGATCTTCTGGGCGTGACCTTCAGACCTCAACGGAGGACCGATGGCACGTCGAGGGATCGATCAGCGCTAAATCGTCCCGCGTCCAACGGACCAACGCAATCCATGGTAGAATGAGAGGAATCATTTTCGTTTCCTGTTCATCGAGGATACAATTCTGCCCATCGTGGAGTCGAGGTTGGCGTTCGGGAGAATAATCTGCGTGAGGAACGACATAATGCATATTAGAGAAATCCACGGAACGTGTGTTAGGAGAATAATTCCGTGGAGCCAGAATGGCTTCAGAGAAATAACACTCATCATTATTCATCAGCCCTGTTGAGCTTATTGAGTTTTGATTCATCACGGTAGCATGCCGACGCTTGCCTCTCACTATTCTAGGTCTAAAAAGCTAGAATTTCCGCACTCACGTCTCAGAAGCTTCGTCGGGGAGTCCATGCGTCGGGGAGCCGATACTCTCGAGAGCCGTTGGCACTGAAACCATAGAAGGAATCATGAGTTTTCCGAAGAAGGAAGAATCGACTGACATGATCTTCTGCTTCCGCAGATTTCAGAGAAAGATTTATCATCATATCTTCTCAGCCCTGTTGAGCTTATAATATTGTTATTCATCATAGAGCGTAGAGAGTGACCCCGCTGTCGGGAGAAATTATTCACGGAAACCTCAGCTTTTCCACTTACCCTGTGAGCCGGTAGGCATTCGTTTCCATCCCAGAAACGAGGCCATTTTACTTGTGAAAAGTCGAGCACGTGGTGCTCTCCCGCGTGGTTTGCGCCCGAAAGGAACGTAGTTGGCACCGACCGCAGCACCGACGATGATGGCGGACACACACAATGAGAGAGTGTAAACATCTCTCTTCGACCGGCGAGCAGCGAGGGTGTTATTATGACGACGACCACGTGCAGGCGGCTCAGCTGATGAAACACGACGGTACCTCCGATATCAGAAGCCATTCAGATACGCTACTAATGATGCACGAGTTCGGGATCAAGATCGGGTGTCCGGGGACAGGGAATCGATTCTGGGCAAAACACACTCGAATACTTAACACGAGGTGCGTATGCAAGTCTATATGGGCGACCATATACAAAAGCATACAATAACTGGTTAGATCACTCTTGGACAAAGAAAAAACGTCCAGCCTATGAATTCAGCGGTTTAGTTCGGCGAAATGCGTCGTTTCTTCTGCGACCGGAATTCTTTCAAAACTGGCCTAAGCTCAAAGCTCTTTGACAATGACAGGTCAGGGACTTTGAACCTCATGACTGACTTCGAAGCCAGGCATGCCACCCTTCCCTGGGCCGGTTCCGGATGCGGGTTTTCTTCTCGTCAGGCTGATCAGGGATGATCGAGCTCCCTTGGCTCGATCCCATCACCATCGAACACTGTAGATGTAGATTACCCCTTACCCCACATGGGAAACCGAACCCCATTAGGGAGCGGCTGGAAACAGGTGAATTTTAGCCAGAGTGTGTGCAAGGCGCATCGAATTTTCATCGTGAGCTTCGGCGCCGAGTTGATCGAGGAGCCCGGATTTATCACGGTATCTGAGATTCCTTATTCGTATTTGACCCGGTGGGGGAAAATTTAATTATAATTTCATTGAGACCAAAACCGAGTCAGCCCATCGATCGTCGGAGAACGAGCGATGAACCTGATTCATGGACGCTGCAGAATCTCTGGACGGAGCGCTAAGAACACGCTTTCTCTGGAAGCGTCAAACCTCTATGTTATCCGAGAATTTCCCTGACGTCTGGCACTCTCATCCTGATTGAAAAATCAAACAATAGTCCGCCAATCAAGCCAAGAAATCGATTCGGCGGAGGGTATCGCTGCGACAGCGAGATATCGTCTTGTACACTCAAGGGTGACATTTATCTTACCATTCAGAACTGGCTCCGGATGAAAAGGAGACAGCCTTTGTTCTTTAAGGAACTCGTCTATCCGGCGCTCCCGATCTCCGCTTGTTGGATGCTCCCCATCGGTTGTCGCACCATTTATCGGCGCCACTCTGTTGTTTGATGATGGACTCCGCCTTTTTCTCCCGAATGAGCAACGAGTCGACGATTCTGTACGGAGACGTAGTTCCCGGAAAAAAGCCTCCGGGAATAGTCTCAAAACGCTGCTACTCCGTCTTGCATTCAATCTCGGGGAAATGTCTCCGGCATTGAGTTATGTGTGCTCGAGAATACGGAGCTCGTTCCAGGGGAACTGTATGTTCAGCTGTCCACGAAAGAGCCCGCATGGCGCTCAAGCGACGCGCCCCGAAATCCTTGGTCGCTCCAATTCGAAGACTGTTCGTCCCTGTCGATGCGTCTTTTCCCCTCCCGGACGTCGTCGTCGTTTCGATCCTCGGATCTCGGTTTTTCCCTTAGGGTTTTTCTTCTCTTCGTGCGACGCTAATTGACTCTGATGGCAACAATCAACGCTAATCCTCTCAGCGGTTGCCTGCCTTGAATGCTGAAGCGACGAGAATGCACAGCACCGGGCGACGCAGCGACGGACTCAAAAGTCGATCGAGTCGCTCCATTCACTTTTCGACTGAGCCGGATGCATCTTAGAGCCGTGGAGACCTGGGACTCGGCGAGGAGGACCCGAGTTGCGAATCGTACCAGACAATATTCCCCGTATAGCAAATTCTCTGCGATTCGATCCGAATCGATTCGGTCTATCTCGTTATGGATTCAACGAGATCCGCTGCGAGCTGATGACGTGAATTGCACTTGCTGAGTTCCAGCTCTGTGACTCGGGTGAGAAACTCCCGGAAAGAAACATTTGCGGTGAGTGCGTAGACAAAGCGTTTCGCAGCACTTCGCCGCAAAGTATAAACGACAGGTTTGGGGACATCAGAAATCACCATCGCTTACATCAACCACCGAGATCGGTCGACAACATCCAAAAACGATCATCTGTCATTTATCCGCAGCTGTGGCTCGACTCCAACCGCTCAGGCGAATCTCCCGCTCTCCAGGGAAGGGGAGTTCGGAACCAGCACCGTTTGTATCGACTCCATGGATTCGCGCTCGGGAACCGCTTTACTGTTTAGAAGAAAGAGCGAGCAGATCTAGATTCCCGGAGCCGAGCCGGATACCGAATCGGGATTTAGAAACTTACCGCGACTTCTGACATCTTTCTCGGATTTTTTATCGACTTTCCTTCCACTGCGAACGAGGAGGCTTTCGTCGCGTATCGAAGCCTCGTTGAGCCGAGCTGTAGCTCTGTTCCTTCACTGCATGAATGATGGCGGCCCTGCCTCGGTCGGATCGACAGTAAAGCATCCATCGGTACTTTATCCTTCATCAAGGTTATGTATGTGATGGCCGAGGACTTTCTGATATAGGAGATAGTGCCGATGGCACTCCCTGGACCCATACGCTGTTCTTCATCTTGATCCATGAGAGCGACTCCCCATCCCAGGAGAATCCGAGCGAAGGACAACGCATTCGCCGCTCAGTCGGATCGGGAGGGCTGGTCGCAGGCGCCTGCACTCGCGTTCGTTGTTCTTACTTTATGGGATTAGGCAAGGAGAAAGGATACACGCTGCTCGGGAATGACGAGCTCGGCTGCAGGACCGCATGCACGCCTCTGCACTCTGGACGACGAAAATGGACCACTATGAACGCGAAAAAATGTGGGGAACGGAGGTAGAGATTAGGCCACCAGCTCCTGGAAACTACGAGTTCGCCGCGAGGACTTTGGCTCGAGCTGTGGGTGAAAGTAAGCGAGGGCATGGAACTTTTGCGGCTTCTGCGCGTTCCATCCGAGGAGCTGACACTGGAGATAGAAATAACCTTCCTGCACATGAGATTTCTTCCGTTGGAAATATTTCCGAGACTCGTCCGTTGGAAATATATGCTCCTGCAGGAGAGAATCGGGAAGAGCACAGAAATCTCCGCGGCAAGAGCTCAGGACCTGGGTCTGACGCGTCGTGCACCAGGGAAACCCCCAATGGCTTATCAGTGCCAAGTCAGCTCGTAGAGTCAAGTTGCGAGATTGCTCGCCGCGAGGGTGGAAAAGCGAGAGTAACGACTCTGAAGCTCTCGTTTAACTGGATTTATTTTATTTTCGTTCCCCTCAACAGTATGTGTGGGCCGACCAATGTGGCCGCATGTCAGTTTGCAATCAAAGAGTAAACTAACTACGTTCAATATCGATAATGATAATAATAATAATAACTGGATGACGACCATAAGAGTTGTATTCATCACCGCCGAAATGGATAATAATCAGTGATTGCCAATGTGGGAGACAACGAGTCCAATAATAACTACGGTAAGGAAAGTTGGCGCGATCGTCATTCGGGACGCTTCCGAAATCTTCATAATGTGGAACGACGTGCTCGCCGCCGTGAAGATCGTCTCCTCGCTGACGAACTGTATGGGTTGAGAGTATACGACGGTACAGCGAACTTTGAGACGCATCGAAGTCACGAACTTCTCCTCGAGGGTCATGCGGAGTCTCGAAGTGTAGGTTTTCTGGCGACCAGTCCGCGCTATCGACAGGTGCACGGTCATATTGCGAGTTGCTTCCTCATCGTTGACTGTCCACTCAAGGTAAGCCTCGTTGGCGTCGTGCACCTTGGTCGTGCAATTCCATTCGACAGATGTTCGGGCCTTGTCGTAGATGTTCAAAAGTTCCTCGCCATTAATCCGGGGTCCCTCGGGGTCCGGCAGCAACGTTCGATTTAGATATGGATGGTACATGATCTCGTCATATTTTTCCGAGAGGTTCTTATAAATCGTCGAAACGCACTGCAGCTTGATGATCTTATTCCGTAGGTCCTCGGATGTGATGGGCATCTTCAGGTTCAAGCCCACGGCTTGAACACCCATGCCGTCGGTCATCGGGTTGGAGCTCACCTGGGTTTTGCCTGTGAGTTTACTGGGCGCTCGTTTGCTGTTCACGTACCATTTAAGACGTGGTGGAGGTTTCGACGGTGCTGAACGGCAGGTCACATTAATCGTATCTCCTAGGTCGTACCTTTTCCGTAGGCCATCGATAACTGGGCCGCCGCTCGGCATAACATACGTGACCACGTCGGACTCGAGCAAAACGGTTTTATATGCTGGTCCTTCGGTGGATACTTCACAGCTGTACGTTCCTTCGGTCCGAACGTCCGACCGGACCAATGTAACCATACTCTCGTTCGAGTGCACTATATCCACCTCAACTCCAGCGACGTTGTAGGTAGTCGGAGTCGGTGAGCTCCACGGACAGTATCGATAGAATTCCGAGTTATCTTTGTACCATTTAACACAATAGAGGGCCTCGCCCTCGAGATCGAAACGGCACCACATGATCAGAGGATTGCCCGCGATGATCGCCCCCGGAACTTGCAGAGCGGCATCACGGATGCTTCTGGCACCTGAAAGATGAGGAACGCCTTTTGAATACTTTGCGGACACGCGGCTGGTGCTCCCTACCCGGATCGGAACGGGAGACGTGGGCACGTTCCTCTCGCGCGGCCGCGAGCTAGAACATCACGAGGACATTATTTCGAAATGAACTCTGATTCTTTGAGCGTATCTCGGCCGCCAGCGAGGTTGGGACACATCGTCAGTTAGGGTCCGGACAAACGAACTAAATAACGAACGGATAGACGGACGACCAGACGGGCAATCGGGCGAACAGATGGACGAACAGAGAGACACGACGGTGGCGGCCATTTAGCCGGAGAACGGGAGCGACTCAGGAGTCGTTTTTCGGAGAGGCGTCACGACACAAACGATAATTGATGGCAGCCATCAGGGTCGAGAAACTCTGAGGGCCAGCGAGCGGAGACTGCCGTCTCGGCCCTTCGTCCTCCGTCTGGACTCCAACGCCGAGTCGAGCATGCAGGTGTTTGCCGGCAGGAATATCGCTCAATTACGTATGATTGTTTCTTCCAGAGGCAAATCTCCCTCAGAACTAAGCAGTCCCTCGATTGCGTCGAACGAGCGAAAATTTCTGCAGCCGTCGACGTCTGTTCGCGAGAGATGTTCCTGTACTCAATTAGCATACCGCACCCACTTACCCACCCGGCCACTCGTTCCCCCGAGCAGTCTGACTGCGTCGAGGCATGAGAAAGTCGGGAGCGAGTAAATAAGACGTAGCATCGAACAACGGGCAAGATCGGGAGAAGCTGGCATCCCCGAATCACGCGGTATTTGTGTTCCAAGCCATGAGGATTCGGGGGAGAGGAAGCAGCGGGGAGGATGGGGTGGGGAGAGAGAGAGAGAGGGGAATTAATCGTTTAACAAAACAGTCAGCCGGTAGTGCTACGCAGTCGACAGCAATGACTTTTTGCCACACCCAGTCACGGGATCACAACGATTGGTTTCGCGATGTTTTCTTTGCTTTCTCATCATCTTGTCCCGCCGATGATTTCACATCAACAACTACCGGCGACCACCAGCGATACACCGGGCGAGCTTGCTCGCTTGAATTATGTCTCCTCTCACTATCGCAGCCCTCCTGTCAGCTCGTGGTTATCGAATTCACCGAACTCGGCCCGCCAGTACATACATACATGGGTAGAGGATATTGGCGCGCTCGTTGACTGCCCTACTAAATGTAAATGTGAGTTCGTCGATTCCCGAGCCATTGGCTCGCTCCGGCGGCGGAGGAATAGAGCACGACTAGACGAGATCAAACTGTGGGGAACTATTCAGTGACCGATTGGGCTTGGTGTCGAACGATATTCCAGCGAAGGAATCTGCGTATGTATATTCCTGCGGGAATTTCGCAGAAACGCTCTATAGCTAATTCCTCTCTTCGCTCTGAGCTCGCGCCGAGCTGATGAGGACGGTAGCGTCGGCGGCGGGAACGCAATGGTACAACTCGACTTTGTTTAATTCCTCGGCCAAATTTGCCATTCGCTTCTCTGCTTAGCTCTTCTTTCGCTCGGGAGCGGCGCCGCCTCGCTAAGTACCCTACGATGGTTCGGAGAGAATCAAAGTCTCCATTAGCTCGGCAATCGCCATCGCATGGGCAAATGTCTCAATGAAGCGCCGAGGTAGGGATTCTAAGACAAAAGTCGAAGCGCTCCCACGAAAAACTATGCGATTTCAGCGCGCAGGGGGATTTGCAAGTTTATTCCTTCCACACCGCCGGGAGCTGTTTTTCCGACAACTGGTCGCTATGATTTACATCCGGGACTCCCCTTCAGGCCGTGTTGTGAAAGTTCGTGGCTCCCTGGTAGCACGACCATTAATTCGACAAGACAGGAGCTGGGAAGTTTGCTTTCGGTGAGAGGCTGGAGCTCGGACGATCTTTTTGGTGATCCGACGCGAGGAGAAAACTTTCCGGTATTCGGTGCGAACCAGCGTTGTCGCCTCCGTTCAGATTCCGAAGTTTTCGATGAGAGTCGCCCTGACCGAGCTGTCCCTTGTTGGTCTTTGTTCTGTTCCCAGTTGACCTCTTCCTCGGGAGCTCTCACTCAGCGAACAGACCCTCTTGCAAGCTGTTCTCAGGTGGAGCGAATCGTCAGTTCAGTGAGGCGTTTGTTCCTCCATTTGTTCGAAATTCGTATTTGCTATCTCTGCGTTCGAATAGATCTCTCCTCGATACCGAGGTGGGCTGTTCTGGCAGATGTGCAGCCCAAACTCCAACCATCCTCCACGATCGACGGAGGATTGTTTCGGTCTGGTTCTGAGATAAGAGGAACCTGGCATCTCGAAGTATTGTACGAAGATAAAATTCCCGCTACAGTACATCCGCTTTCGGAGTTGGATCCAAATGAATATTCACGTATGAATTCAATCTTATTGAACTCATGCACACCACGGATGGTGAACTCGATACCAGACTCTGATGATGCAATCTTCTTTGCAAATCGAGATTTCCGTCTCGTCCCCGGAAGATTTCGGAAAGATTTCGCCCCATTCGAAAGCAACGAAGAGGTTAGGTCGGCTCCGTGGTAGGCACGGCTTCGATGGTCGAGATCGGTGGAGCAGGAAGGTTTCGGGGTGAATCAGCGAAACAAAATCTGTCGTGCTAAACAAAATCATTTCTAGTCTTCTCATCTCTGTTTCGGGAATCCCGATGAACGCAATTTTCTCGAGTTCATCCGCGGAAATGTTCGGGACCGCCATTTTTAGGCGAGTACATCACTATCAAAGCTCATTAAGGGAGGACCGGATCTCTGGCATTGTCCGTTCACCGGGCTACTCATCGTCTGAAGATTGCAGCCGGACGTCGGCACTCCGTCCCCTCAGACCGCAATCATTTCTCCGGTAATCAGACTCCGAGTCTCAAAGGAGGGCACAGGTCGCGTCCGCTCCCGATCCGAAATCACGAACGTCGCGACGTGGAGTTTTCTGAAAACTCCCCAAGTTCTCCGTACCGAGCATCTGCCGGCATACAAAAAGTACACGCGAACGCATAACCGAACGGACACGCAGCTCGGGAGCAGCTCTGCGCTCGTCTGTGCGGAAAATGTTGCGAGTGATTCGCGGCGCAAATCACCTGACAAATTTTTGGAACGCGATCATTGTCGCATGTTGCGGATCTAGCGCCCTCATCGGACGCACCGATGGACTCTCTGTTTATAATTCACCACGGAGCCGTGTTCTCATTACTGATCATCGATTTGAAGCATGGAAGTTATCATAGATTTTCCGTCGTGACGGATCGTGTTCGCCAAAAACTAGACTACCGACATAGATCGAAGTTATCATCGACTTGATTGGATATGTTCTGTCGACAAACCGTGGAATCTGTGTTTTATCAAGCGTTGTTCATGGTGTTTGCCGAGCGACGTGCGGATCCGTCATTTCTCTCTCCCGAACACCGCGCCGAGCACTATCGACGGGCAGTGTCGACGCTTCGGAAGAAGGCTGAGGTACGATCCTCGCGACGGGGGAGCCAGATATCTGTGCATGTTTCCACGTTCGTCGCGAGGGGCATACAGAAGCAGGGACTCGCTTCGAGCAACCGACGACCCACTCATCGGCGTCAGTGATACCATTCGACAGACCTCTGTCTGCTCCTACCGCCGCCGCCGCCGCCATGGAGCTAAAAAGCACTTGAGAGCGAGTTCTCCTAAGGGACTAATTACCTGTTCTCTTGCTTCTTTCCTCAATAATAACACTAATATAGGTCCCTGACCCCTCACCACTCTGCTTCTGCTACCGATTCCACCGTTCCGTGAGTTCCCCTAGCAGCCATTAGCCAGACCCTCGTTCGAAAGCAAGCCATCCCAGTCGATCTGCTCCGTGTTAGTGGCAAAATCGGTCGGTCAGAGAGATACTTTGATATGACCTCATCATGAGCATGTCCGGCCGTTCGAGCCCTGTTTGTGGAATCTCGAATATTTTCTCGTATAACTCAACCGGAGCGGCGTCGCCTATTCGGAAACTTCGAAACGGAAGGTCGGACGTATCGATGACGAGTATCCATCATAATCGGCAGTCGGAAAGGAGGAGTCTCGAAGAGAATCTCACGGGACTTATTCAGTCAAAGAGAGAAACGGCGCTGAGCAACAGCAATTGCAAAACGGAAAGCTGTTCGTGTCACCCGATGGTGATTCAATTCCATTACCTCCTCATCCGAGATGTGTTTCGACTTGGCCGTTCCGCTCCGCCGTTTTTCCTGAAGAGGTTCTCTCGTTGTTGCCGAGTAGCTCTCAAACTCCTCACTACTGTAGCAGTCGCGGCGGCACAAGCAACTACATACCCTGCTCGAATCCTCGTAGGGGATATATTGCTTAGAACCCTCTCTCTCTCTCCCACTCGCAGCCCCTTCCTAGCCTCTAATTCGAGCCTCGCGGCCGAGACTCCGGCAGTTCCGCGGTAATAGTCTGCCTGACTCTCCGATAAGCGGGAGCTGACGACAGTTTTATCGCTGCTGCTACCACAAATTCAGCAGAGCGATGTATTTGGATTGATTCGTTGAATGGGAACGCGGGCGGGATCACGAGTTCCCATAGTCTTCGCGGAGGAGACATCTCCCAGTGGACAACTGTCGAGAAGATTAGGTTCTTTTTCAGGAGCAGTTGCTCATCAATCGGAATTCGTCTTGAAGACTTCGGGAGGTGCTTGTGCGACAGCCAGGTATTTGAACAAGTGTAGGTGACTCAAGAGGTTGCTTGTCGTGTCCTGTCGACAAGTGCTTCTCTTCTTCTCGCACCAGCGCAACCGAGCGGATTTAAGCTGTCTCTCTTGTCTCGTTTCGCTTCCCACCGTTTCTTGCACTCTTGCTCACATCGGCTTGGCTGCCAGGCGTGGCAATTATTCGGAATCCAGAGCATCTTGATTTCCTGAACCCGGAGGAATGGGAAATGAATACCATGGTGACTTTCAGCGCGATCGAGGACGACGCCCGTACTCTTGAGTGATCTCGTCCGCGATTCGGGAGGGGGACCTTGATATTCTCTGAACTTCTCGA